AGTGCTGTGGAAACGAGGATGGAGGTGCTGGCAGGCAGTGCCAGTTGGGTGGAAGAGCGAAGGGCCTCAGCTGCCCGGGTTCAGATGCAGTGATGTGAAGGGCTTGGACTGGAGGTGCAGTGTAGTGTCACCCCGACCTTGGTGTGTGGGAGGGAGTTAAAATCCAGGGTGTTCAGCAGCGATTCCCTCACAGCAGGGATGGGATGGGCCCTCTTCAGCTCCTCTTGGATTTGCTGAGGATCAAGCCCACGTGTGCCCAAGAGCTGCTGAGGCTCATAGGAGTCCTCCAGGAAGCTGCTGTTGATGGTTTGTGTTTGGGACCTGTCTAGGGCTGGGAGAGGGTTGACACACAGCATGTGGGTCAGGAAGTTCAAAAGCTGTAAAGCACTTGAGCCCAGTTGGGTTTAAACCCCTGTTCTTGCAGTTTTCTTGGGCTGATGTGTGACAGTGGTGGGGGAAAGCCCTGCCACAGCTAGCGCATCTGCTGGGCCTCCTCCGGGCTGGGCATTGCAAGGAATGGGCCCAGCCTGAGGATTCATTTCAGAGAAAAGCCTTCCTGCGGAGTGTCTTGGGGGCTGGCGCAGCTTCCTTGGCTTCAGCACGGGCTGGGTTTGGAGCGAGCTGTGGCTGCACCAGCCTGGGGCTGGACATCTCCCTGGCCGGGGTTGAACATGCCGGCCTGTCACTTGGGGTGCTTTCAGCCAGGACACTGCCCGTTTGTGAGAGCTGGAAGGAGTCTGGCAGGGACAGCAGACCTGTCACTGTCCTCAGCTAGCCAGCCAGTTCTCCTTCCTTAAAAGCACAAAGGGAAGCCCCTTCTTGAAGCCTGGGGACTTCCACCCACCCCATTGTCTGTTGGCAGCAGCCTCAGATCTGCCTGATTTTTGCTTTCTGTCCCCAAGGGATTAAAAGGATCCTGCCTCATCAGATGACAACTGCCGGGCCAGTGCTCGGGGAGGAGAGGCGCTCGGATGAGTTCTTTGACTCCTTGGATCACGTCATCGACATCCACGGGCACATCATTGGGATGGGCCTCTCCCCTGACCACAGGTGAGCGGGGAGGGGGGGTGGCGTCAGTGCTGGCCTCGGACACCGGGGGGGTGCGGGATGGTGGCTTAGGGGTTTGGGGAGGAACCAGAGAAGAAATGCCTGCAGCAGATGAAGCAGAGTGCCTGCATAGGCCGCTCTGCTCATTCACATCCCATTTATGTCCTGGTGCTGATGGCATGATGCCCAGCAGGAAAGCTGTCCTCCTGCTGTGCTGCCGAGCCCTGTTCAGGACAGGGTCAGACATGGAGCCTTGTAAGAGCTCCTGGTGGAGCTGCTCACCTTAATGTGTTTTGTTCCTGAGGCAGATCGATAGGCCACCATCCTTAAAATTGCTTTTAACAGGATTAAAGAGGATTGACCTCACCCCTAGGGCCCACTGTCCAAACTGTGGTGGCCCTTTCCTTTCCAAACGGGGCAAGAAGTGGTTCAGCGACACATTCCTGTGTTTCAGCCTGGATTTTAGTGAGCAGGGCTGCAGGTTGTTAAGGACCAGAGAAGCTGCTCGGTCCCTGCCCAGCCTGGCTGTGCTGTGCAATTACAGCTGGGGCTCTGAGCTTCATCTCGTGTGGCGAGGTGCAGGGTGACCCCTCTGTCCCCTCCCCAAGGTACCTGTACGTGAACAGCCGTGCCTGGCCTCGGGACTGTGTCATCTCCGACCCCATGCAGCCGCCCCCCATCGCTGAGGAGATTGATCTCCACGTCTTCGACCTGAAGACAATGAAGGAGGTGAAAAGAGCCCTGCGTGCGCATCGGGCCTACACGCCCAACGAGGAATGCTTCTTCATCTTCCTGGATGTCAGCAGGGATTTTGTAGCAAGGTGTGGGGCAATGGGGGGTGGGCAGGATCCTGACCCAATGTCTGGGAGGGCCTCGGGGCCAGCACTGTGGGGTGGCTTGTGCAAGCGGGGCTGGTCTGTGTGCTGGGAACTCCCGTGTGTTGTGAGCAGAGCAGGAAACAGGAGGTTTGTACAGAGCAGGGAGGCTGAATCAGAGGCTGCTGGTAAAGGCTGTGTGCCCTGGTCCTATTGTGAAATCGGGGAGGAAAGGGGAAATTTTGGGCTGTAGCATGTTCGGCAGGGGGTGGCAAGTGGCCTTCTTAGGACCTGCAGGCAGCAGGTGCCATGGGGCGAGTTGAAGGGGCACTTCAAACAGCCTCTGGATCCCAGAGGGAGCTGGGGTGCCCAGGCTGAAGTTTGTGGGTGATGGGGTGCAGGTGGAGGCTGGGGCACCTTCTGCCTCCACCTGCACAGGAGGAAGGAGGTCATGAGCAGCAGGTGATGGAGGCTGCTGGGGTGACTCCTTACCGGTGTCTTGTCCCCTGCAGTGGGGCAGAGGACCGCCATGGCTACATCTGGGACCGGCACTATAACATCTGCCTGGCCAAACTGCAGCATGACAACGTGGTCAACTCGGTGGCATTCAGCCCAGTGGAGCAGGAGCTGCTCCTGACAGCCAGTGACGACACCACCATCAAGGTGTGGCGCTCCCCGCGCGCGGTGCGTGTCCAGCAGGCCAGGAAACCCAGGCCCAGGAAACTGCTCTTCTCCTGGCTCATGAACCAGAAAAGCTGAACCCGGGTACACCTGCTCCTGCAGCTTCCTCACTGCAGCCACCTCTGGAGCTTGCAGAGCTTTGAGCCCTGCGTGACAGAAACAAGCTCTGGGCACACAAATCCCATCTGCTGAGTCAGGAGGGACCCCAGCAGCGGGAACTGCTTCCTCCTTGGAGCATCCGCTTCAAAGACAGAATGTAAGAGCCGAGGGCCCCTTCCTGGGCCTGGCTGGCAGCAGCCCGAGCTGGTCACTGCAGGGTGGGCGCCCCACAGCTTCTCACAAATGCTGCTACTTGGTCACAGCTCTCTGGGTGAGCTTTGGTCTCTGAGAACAGACCGGGACACGTCTCCAGCATTTGTACTGGGTGAGGCTGGGACGTGGCCGACCTCGCCGGGAGCCGCCGGCCACAGAGCACTTGGCAGAGGTGGCGGCACAGTGCTGTGCTGCCTCACTGCAGGACTCTTTTAATATAGTAGTTTTATTAACGTTTGTTTGTCCCAAACCTCCACGGGCAACTGGTCAGGCTGCTGGGTAATGCTGTGCCTCCTTGCCACAGCACCTTGGCCATGGGGGGCAGTAGGGTCGGGAGGGCAGTGGGGAGGCAGGGCTGGTGTCCTCACTGGTGTCTCGTGTGGCCCCTGGGGATGCAGCCAGTGCCCTGTTGATGCCTTCTCTTAGAACCATGTGTTGGTATTGCCAGTTTCCCAACTTGAGAGCCGGGAGGGCTGGTGGTAACACGGTGCTGGCTTTGCCTCCGTCTTCCTCTGCTGAGTAGCACTTAAGTAAGCTCTGGCATCGGCAACGTATTTATTGTAGGGGATCGCTGTCCCTTCCCGAGGGGCGGCTGTGAGGATGGCTGGTGGGTCTCACGGTCACCTCCCTCCCATGCTACTCAAGTTGTGGCACTTTAGGTTCTCTTGGTATGTTCTCTGTGAATAGGTGCAGGCGCCCACGGGTGGCTGCAGGGGTTCACCCCCAGGTGACTGGGGGGACACAGCCTTCCTCTGCCTGAGTCACAGCTGAATAGGCTTCCTCCCACCTGGGATGGGGTTTGGTGATCAGCTCCTGCGGGGACCCCTCTGACTGTGGAGCTGCTCACTTGAAGCAATGACAAACTCAGTGGTGTTTACTCTCTATCTGTTCCTCAAGGTTTTCTCCTCCAGCAGCCACCCAAATGAGAGTCTAAAATTAAGCAGTTTGCCCCTGGGAGCTGGGCTCTGGAAAGGAGCTGTGTCCTAGGCAGAGGCTGGGGGAGGTTTTTCGGCGTTCCCCTGGGAACACCAGTGGCAGTTGTTTGTGCCAGTCACAGCCTTGGGTTGGAAATAGACTTAAGGGAGGCAGCAGATACTGTCTTGATTGCACTAATGGCTCTAACAGCTCCTGTGGTGCTTGGCAGGAGGGTTTGTACCCTGGGTCTGCTCTGCCCCAGCAGCTGCCCATGGCTTCATCCAAGACCCCTGTACACAAATTTTCTGTCATCATAGGACTTCCAGAAACAAGGAAGTCCTTCATGTGTGTGTGCACAGGATCCACATCCAGCTCTGTCCAGTCACACAGCGAAAGAACAGCCTTTACCTTCCTCCCCCAAGACTGTGAAATGGGTTCCCCTTGGCTCAGTGTAGCAGTGAGCAAGGCACTGAGAGTTTATGTTTGTGCCGAGTTTTGCCCTTCACTATGGCATTGAATAAATATTCTGCTAAAGCATCTCTGCAATGCGAATTTGTTTTTCTGAGTGCTGTTCTTCTGCTGAAGCAGCACTGAAGCCAGAAGTGTCACAGGGCTGTGCCTGCAGCCTCGGCGTGCTCCAGAGGTGGCTGAGCAGCTGGGGTTCCGGGCCCTGGGCTGTGCAGTGCAGGCAGCGAGCTCTGAACCAGCAAGAGAGGAGAGAGACAGAAAATTGCCCAAATCTTCTTTGCCCTCAGAGAGGAGGATGGGACAGCCCTAGGGGAGCAGCAGCTGAGGACAGTGCCTCTTGCAGGGGTGGTGGGAGCGGAGCAGGCACTTGGCTCCCAAAAATCAGCATGTCCTAGAGGACCTCAGCAGCTGTTTTTTCAGCCAGCACCCAGGGCCATGAGTGTAACAGGCTGCATTTGCCTTCCTCTTGTTCTGCAGCGCCAGCAGTGCTGCCTCTGCCCCCACCACCCCCGTGCCCGCCCGCTATGGGTGAAGCTCCAGCAACCAGGCTGGGGCCAGGTCACCCCCCCTCCAGGAGCTCCTTCCCTGCCTGCTCCTGCACCCCTGGTTTGGTGTTGGGCACAACCCCTCCCCATGGCCCCGGCCCTGCCAGCTGCAGTTCCTGCAGGGAAGCGGGGTCTGGGGAAAGCTCCCAGCACAGAAAAAACCCCCCACATCGAGGTGATGCTGCCCCTGCTCCTCCTCCAGCTCCTCAGGCCCGAGGACGCTCATCCAACTGCTTTTATTAGTGCTTTTGACCATATTACATCCTCAAAGTAAAAAAACCAAAACAAACAACTTACTTCACAGTGCCAGGTGGCAATGGGTGTTCTCCAACAGCTGTGGTGAAAAAGGAAAAAAAAAGAAGAAAAAAGAAAAATACCACCAAAAAACCCCAAACAAAACTACAAAAATTCCAGCAGTAGCTTATGCCAAGTGTCCATGTGCCAGCCAGGACGGCAGAGCTGTGCCCGGGGAGGTGCCGTACCCCTGCCCGTAGCTGTGCGAGGGATACAAGCAACAGCTGCCACTGCATGTACCAGAGCTTCCAAAAAGTGGAAAAGGACCAGAAAGTGTTACCAGCACCGGATCCGCCTCTTTTCAGCCACGGGTGAGGGAGAGGAAACACTGCAGCTCCTACAGGCTCCTGTCACAGCGGCTGCCCTGCCGTGCCCTTGTCACCCCTGCTGTGTCCCACTCCGTGTCCCCTCACAGGTGGGAAAAGCTCAGCCTGACTTCTGCTTGCAGCATGGACCTTCAGGCACCCGCTGGGGCAGCAGGACCATCACCCATCCCCCCAAAACAGCCCAGACACCCCTCCAGCAGACCTGGCATCCCCAGTCATGCCCAGCACCCCTTGGCCAGACCCCCCAGGCCCTGCTGCAGGCACCTGGGTGTCCAGCACTCCCAGAGCAAAGACATTTACACCAATTCAGATCAAGCCTCATCTCCCCATCTCACACCCTTAATTCCCAATGGCTACATGAGCAGAGCTGGTTGCTCTCCCTCTTCCCAGTCTCTGTGGAGCCAGGAGCTCGCTGAGGAAGCACTGCTACGGGTGGGAGCAGGGCTGGGGCTCTGCCAGGCTTTTTGTTTCCTCCTAAAATACAGCACAAGAGCGGCAACACAGGGGCAATCTCTCCCCCAGGCCAGGCTGGAAGGGGGCTCAAATGAAGGGTCCTGCTGCCCCTCTCCCACCTCTGAGAAGAGCCCAGGGCTCCTGGGGGTCTCGCGGCACGGCAGGGCGCAGGCAACTGCCGGCCCCACGTCGCTGCCAGGGACATGCACCTCCTGCCCCTCTACTTTTGGAAGTACCCCAGCCCTTGCATCACAGCAGCCGTGGCAGGAGGGCTCCCGCCCCCCCCAGCTGCTGCACTGACTCCCCACCGTGCTGGCACTGCCAGGGAGAGCCCCCCAGCCAGCACAGCACCTTTGGGTGCAGGAGGTTCAGCTCAGCTACCTGCCAGCCTGAAGAAGCACAACAGGGACCCGCCCCGAGCTCCTCTGGCAGCAGTAGGGACCCCCCGACCCAGCCCAGGAGCAGTCAGGGCAGTGGGTACTGCACAGGGGGACTCTCCAGGTGACAGCCCATCTCCACTGACCATGGCCCCACGGGGGGTGGCCAGCCCGGAGCAGAGGTGGAAGCAGAACATGAGCACAGGGGGCTCTGTGTCCATCAGGCTGGGCACCAGGCAGGGAGCTGCTGGCAGAGAGGGGCTTTGGGCCTTCCTCCACAGCAGCCATGAGGAAGAAGAGGGTGACCCCCCCCCTCCAGTCTTGCTGCCCACCCCTCTGGCTGGCTCCTGGACTACTACTGCAAGGTGGGCTCTTGTGACCAACAAAACCTCTCCTGGGGCACATTCAGACACTGACAGGAGTGAGGGGAGCCTGGGCAGAGAAGTCTGAGAGCAGTCTCAGAGCCCAGCCACAGGCCTGCCCAGAGCTCCTCATGGCCACCACGAACAAATGCAGAGGGCCCAGCCAGCCCCAGGGCAGGCACGGGGCAGCATGTCTGTCTCCACAAACACAAGAGACCTTCTCACGGGCGCTGAACACTTGCTGCCCGGAAGGGAGCAGTGCCAGGAGCCAGACAAAAGGAGACAGCAAGCTTCACTCAGGGACTTCATCAGCCACGCCAGGTCCTACCCAGGTGGCTGCAGGCTCAGCGAGGGGCTGAGCAGAGCACGCTCTGGTGTGCAGTCACTGGGAACTGGCGTCACGCTGCTCCCAGCGCCCAGGGAAGGAGAGGGGAAAGCTGCTGCTCATGGGCAAGGCAGAGCCCGGGGAGGGCAGGGGCTGGGCAGCAGCCACCCACCACACAGGTGGACAAGACACATGCCTCGTCCATCAGTGCCACAGCCGCAGGGGTGACAGTGCCCACGTGGATGGATGGTGGCAGCGGAGCTGGAGAATGGCACCTGAGAAGGCTGGTGTGTCTGTGCTGCTGCAGCCACCAAGATGGGACTGAAAGCCAGGTCAGGAGCATCCATCTGCAAGTAAAGCCAGGTTCCAGCACTGCCCCTGCCCTGCTCAGGCACGGGAAGCAGAGAATGACAGGGTCTGGCTAAAAATCCACCCGGGCTCCCAGGGCTCAGGAGGCTCAAGTCCTGCACTGAGCCCTGCATCACCCTCTTCTCCCAGGACAGGATGGACAGACTCCAGGGAAAATTAACTCCTCTTTCACTTTGGGCATCCCTGGTGCTGCCCCACGCTCCCTCCCCGGCAGCAGGCACTGCCTGCCCTGTCCCATGCTGCTCAGGGCACTAAACACCCAGCAAACACCCAGCAGAGCTCAGAGGCGGGGTACGCTCCCCGCCTGCCGCACCGCTGGGTTCAGCTGCACTCGCTGCAGACAGCAGCAAAACAGCAGCAAAACACACTCTGCCTGGCCACCGGGCACAGAGCAGCCCAGAGCAACGGTGCCACTGCACACACAAAACTTCCAGAACACAGATCTCTGAAGAAAATCCTCGTCAGCTGAGCCAAACATCCACATGAGGTGGTGCTCGGGCAGGCCAAACCCTTGTTTTACTACACAGCACTGCGGATGGGCACTAAACTGGTAGAGCAAGAGCTGCACTGGTTTCCACTGGGAGCCCAGACAGCAGTAGTTCAGACACCCAAGTCCCTGCAGATCTTCTTGTCCCCACAGACTGCAAACGTCCACCCAAACCTCTTCTCAGGGAAGGTCTCTCTGACACCAGGGAAGAGGGTTCCCATCAGACACCTCGTTTCCACTCAGAGTGAAGGTCCCTTTTTGGGAAGGGCTTTTCCCCCTCCGCTTTTTGCCCCCTCCTTGCTCCAAGCGCTGCCTGAGGTGCAGCACAAGACGGGGATGCCCCACTCGGGGCTGGCTCTGCGTTCATTGCTCCCGGAGGCCAGGAGGGTTAGAGGCCTGTGAGATCAACGATGGCTTTAATAAAGATGGCGTCATCACGCACGTAGGAGTTCTTGGCTTCCATCACAGAGACGGGGCAGAACAGCGGGCAGCCGCTGGCAATGTTCATTTCCGTGATGGGTCGCTGGAAGGAGGAGGAGGTCACGTCGGGTCGGAAGGCATCGATGATGTGCTCCCGGTTGTTCTGATCCAGGAGCATGAGGGTTACCTGGAGAGAAACATGAAAATACACAGGAGGGGCTGAATATAAAGCACATGGAAACGCAGCGCAGTGACCACTGACTTGAGCCTGCAAAACGTGCAAGTACCAAAGCAACCACAGCCCCATCACATGCCTACAAATCTGAGAAGCCTGTACCTAGGGTCAGCAGGGAACGTCATCTTGGTGACATTTTGTAGAAACCTTCCCACATCCTGCCCTGTCACTGGAAACTGCTGTGTGGCAGCACGGGGCTTTCAGACCGACTCCAAAAGCCTACAACCAGCTGGCGAGCTGTCTGCTCCCAGCAGGTATTTCTTTAAGTCACAGGGTTGCTGTTCCCCTGCGAAAAAAGGCGTCCCCTCTCTCTGCATCAATACTTTACCCACTCAGCCTTGAAGTGTTTCGCAAACCTGCCATGTCTGGGAATGGCCAACTGAGGTTCTGATGCCAAGTGAGCATCAGCTGTGCCCCACGTACCGAGGCCACAACCACCTTCCCTCACCCCAAATTCAGGCAGAGGCTCCTCTCGCTTTCCAAACTTGTTGCCACTGCTGCTCTCCTGCCACAGCCTCTGCCCTCTCGTGCCCCTGCCCTGTAGCATGCTTGGTGCTTTCAGTGCAACCGGGGAATCCCCAGGGCAGCCGACATATCAAAGTCCTTCCTTTGCAAAGCAAGAGCAACAACTTCTGCTTGCTAAGTAGGCCAGACCAACAATGCCCAGAAGCTCAAGTAGGTGCAAAACTAGAGAGGCGCTTTGCTGGGCATAGCAGGCTTTGTCCCAAACCTACCTTCTGGTTGAAGGGCCACCGCAGAAGCGCGTCATTGGGTCCTTTCATCACCACAAAGAACAGGGACAGATGGGTCCCACGCCCGGTGCCGTCCCCATTCAGGTAAACGCGCAGACACATCTTGTAGCCATACTTGCTTGTGTAGAAAGCTATCAAAGAGTTGCAAAACAGACACAGTGAGTGTCAAACCCAGCAAAGCCTGGCACCAGCAGCTTCCTTTGAGCTCTGAGGACCCCAAAGTTTGAATCCTGGAAGAAACCAGGTCTGTGTCTTAAAATACCCACACCACAGAGGTGGTCTGGAAAGCCACCAGGTACCAACAACAGTTAGACGCCATCTTAGACCAGCCTGGAGACAGTCCAAGCTCAGGAGCCCCAAGCCCCACGTCTATCTGAGCTGCAGAGCACATGGCACAGAGCAGGCACCAGCTGGCCCCTTGGGCTCTCCCCCCAGCCACGACAGCACGAGAGCCCCGGGCACAAGCTTGGAGCTGGAGCTCTGCTGGGAGCTGGGTGCTGCCCACCGCATGCCCCCAGACCTGCCAGCTGTGCCACACACAACTGCTAAAGGAGCTGCAGCTCTTGGTAATAACACTGATGAGGAGGAACAAAATGACCTCCTCCCCCCAAAACAACCCTGCCTAGGGGCAGACCATCCTCAGCACCCACTCCCCCTTGTCGTAACATGGCTGCCTCTGACGAGGGCAGAGGGTCAAGCAAGGGAGCTCCAGTCTCCCGTCAGGATCTCAGCCACTCTGCACGGCCCGGGAAGGCCAGGGATGGGTCCCGGGATCTCAGACTCTCTCCTTCTCCAGCAGTTCTGGGAATGGCCGTGCAGGGCCACAGAAATATCTTTCAGAAGGGGACCTGCCACAAACTGCCCTCTCACAGCGGCACAGAGCCATGGGCCTCAGGTCTGGCAGGGCTCAGTGGGCTCAGGGCAGGAGACCAAAGCTGGCATTTTACTGCAGGACCTGGTGCACTTTCATGAACAGTCAGACCAGCGCTGGAAAAGACACTGTGCTCTTCCACAGAGAGAGGAGCAAGAGATCAGGGCTTTGTCACCCACTTCCCTCCTGGCACTCCCCAACTTGCCCCTCTAGTCCTTCCTCTCCACCCAAAGGCTTTCAGGGCAGATGCCACACTCTGCTAATCCAAGCAGCACACCCTCACTGCCCACCTGGGGCTTCCCAGCACTCTGGTAACCCTGTGAACGTACAACCAGGTGGGGAACTGGAGGAAGGATGGCCCCAGAGCAGCGGGAGTACCCACTCTGGTGGCAGCCAGAGTTCTAAACTCCTTGCCCACCACGGTGCCAGCCCAAAGCAGAGATCGGGGCACCCTCTCCTTCCCACTGGCCCCTGCAAAGGCAAAGTGCATCAGAAGCGAATCAAAAGCCCAGCAAGCCACCCCCAGCATCTGACAGTGGCATTCCCTCAGGAGCTTCACTTCGGACTGTGCCAGTTCATGTCATGGATGAATCTTTCTTGTGTAGATTTGCCTTTTTGAACTCCAATTCTGCCCTTCACAAAACCCCATGGCTGTCATGTCATGCCCTTACAACACGAGTGGTAACTTTACTTCCTTCTCTTTAACACTGATTTCATTTGGTATTTCCTTCCCTTTAAATGCAAACCGAACAATTGTACTCATTTCCTTTTCTGAATTTTCATCCCATTCACAACCCAGACCTCTCTCCTCTCAACTTTCTCCTTCCCAGACTCAACAGGACAAGTCTATTTGCTTCACTGTTCAAGATTAAAAAAAACCCACCTCCACAAGTAACATTTGTTTCTCAGCCTGATTTTATCAGCTAAAGCAGCACCAGGAATGAGGATCTCTTGCCTAAATGACACAACTGACTACTGCCGGAAACAAGGCTTTGCACTTTGCACTTGCAAGATAAAAAAAAACCAACAAGCCCTGTCTTTTCCAGAAACCATCCCAGCATCAGGCAGAGGCAGCCCTCGCCTTCCAGTCCCTCCAGCCACGTACAAGACCATCATGAGCAGATTGCAGAGACCAACCAGGAACACAAAGCACAGTCTGCGACCAGCAAAGATGTTTTTCCTTTGATTGAACAGTTGATAAAAGTCCTGAGCCTTTGCTGCCCTGGCACTGCTGCCAGGCAGGGCACGGGGAACGGCCCACACACAGCATGGAGGAGACATCCACAACCAGAAGCTGCAGCCCCAGGAGGAACTGTGCCTCCTGAGCACAGACAGTCAAACGTCTGGGCATACGGAGCCTTTTGCATTCAGAGAGGTCTCACCCCTTTCCCTCCCTTGGGCTGGCTCTGATACTCATCCCTCCACCAGCTGAGTTGATTGTCCCACCTACAGAAACAAATCCCAGCCCACCATGGGGATCCCGGGTGGCATCAGCCCGTGGTGGGGCCTGAGGAGCCCCTGAGCTGGGGCACAGCAAGCGGGGACACCCGTGGCCAGAGGACAAGGTTCAGGTCTGTCCAGCACCTCCCTCCAAACCACCACCCCTGGAGACATTCAGGGCAGGCAGCTCCCAAGCATGGTGCAGGAGATGGAGAGGATGCAGGATTTAAGCTCCTCTCTCTAATCCAAACAAAACAGCAGATTTGTCGGCTTTGAGAAAAGGAAGGAAATGCTGCCCTTCCCAAAGGGGGACGCAGAGCAGGGGTTTTCCACAGCTGCTGCTGACTTCGTAAAGGAAATGCTAATTGCATGCACAGCTTCAGTAGCAGTTTAGTTCTCCTCAAGAAGAGGAGTCCCTTTTTTCTTTGAGTTTTTCAAAAGAAAAAGGACAGCCTTCATCCAGAAAACAGATTTTGAAGTAGTTTTAAAAATTCAACTGCTTGGACCCAAGTGAATCCTGCTCAGGCAAATACAAATTCCCCTCCTCAGCCAATCTGGTGCGAGGTGAGCTCCCCACCAAGCAATAAAATTGTGCAAAGAGATGGTGTCACCTTACAGTGGCGAGTCTGGGAAGTGCTTTCATAAGCAAACAAGTCAGATAATGACCTACTGCTCATCACTGCCCAAGATTTTCTTTTTTAAGAAGAGGAGAGCAGTGCTGGGCTGGGACAGTTCTGCAAGGAAATGCCCTTCTTCTAACAGATATTCAAGCACTTCCCTAGGTATGGTTTGGACTTTATTTAGACATTGTCTCTTGCACTGTCATGGCTTCGGTATTAAAATATATTTCTGGGGCTCCAGTATATATTTCCTCCCTTCCTTAACTATTTTATTGATGGTTTTATGATCTCTGAGTATTTTAACTAAAGGGTTGTACAGGGCTATTCCAGAGCTAAGAAGGTTACATTCTCCATTATGAGAAATTAAAAAGGTCTTCTGCAATCAAAAAACACCTCTTTCAGCAGCAGTTTCACTTAGCCCAATGCTAAAAATAAATAAACAAAAGCAACAGTTCAGGCACCACAAGGAAAGGGGGACAGAACAGAAGTACATCTGAAAGGCCAGCACCTCCCCTCCCACGGCCACCACCACAACTCCCACACCCAGCTGAGATGGAAAAGGCTTTTGCAATTTTGCGGGCAATAACCTGGAGAGAAGATTGCAGGAGAGCGGCCTGTGATTGCATCCTGACGCTTCCTGGCAAATTCGGTTATTTTCCAGATGAAAACACCATCGTAGGTGGATGCTTCCATGCTGCGGATCTTTTCCTCCATCTCGGCCATGGCCAGATCTTTGAGCCCAATGCTCCGTTCCAGCTGCCGGACCTGCTCAGTGGGACACATGGTGTAGCCTGGTTAAAACATGTCCTGCTGTGAGCTCCAAGAAAGCCAGCAGACACCAGCATCCCTTTGGGAGGGCTCTTTAGTGAGAGACCTTCTCCAGAACTGACAGGGGTCACAGAAGAGAGAAATTTAGCATCGTAAGCCAATTCACTGAAGGCTCTTTTTGATCCCTGTCATTATACATCAATACAACTCAGTGCTTGAGCTGGAAACTTTCCCACAGCAAATGGAAAAATCCTCCCGACGAGCAGCTCCGTTGTGTTGGCAGCACAAGAAGTGAGGATGGAGGGGCAGGACAAACAACTCAGCGTTGTGACAAAACTAGACTGAGAAAGAGAAGAACCTACATCCAGCCAACAAGGTCTCCAGAGGGTTAATTCCTGCTGGCTTACATAGGGTGACACCAGTTCTGGCAGCTCCCTTGCTGCACAGGTTCCCAGCTGTAGCACTCAGCAGGGACTGTACTGGACCATACTGGTGGGGCAGCTTCCTCACACCTCAGACCCTGCCTGGCACAAGGCTGTAGCGCCGCAGCAATGATGACGCTCCTTTTGAAAGGTCTGGAAGGGGAGCAGCCCCATGGACTCAGAGGGATCCAGGGAAATGCTGGGTGCTCTCTCTCTCATTGGAGAACTTCACCTAGGAACAACATCTTGCTGTCTGTGTAACTCGGTTACTAACAGAGACCTCAATGCTTTATGCATGTCAAGTTAATGCCCATCTTTTCCAGGCAGCTTTTGAGAGTTGGGCACAGGCAGAAATTATATTTTAGATCTGCAGAGTTTCAGGGCTAAGTGGTGAAGCTTCGCTAGCTAATAACATGGAAAGGAAACTGAAAAAAGTCTCTGCTCACAGTGCTGGAAAGCACAAGCCAGGCGTTACACACCTTGTTACTCAGTGTTTCAATTTTCTCCTGGTCTAGTCGATGTTGCCGACTGTAGGCTTCGGCTGTTAGAGACACTCTTTCCACCTCCCGATTGAGCACGCAGACAATGTTCTCAAAGGTCACCGTTTTCCTCTCAAGGGCCTCACACCTTCCCAAGAGCTCCAGGGACCTGGAGAGCTCTGACTCCGAGCACAGAGCGTTTGCTGGCAGGAGCGTGGAGTTGTTTTGTGATGAGGAAAGGGTAGGAAGGGGCTTCAGGTCTCCAGACCCAGCCTTGAGGCTGAGCACAAAACTCAGCAGCATATAGAGATGCTCCGCCAGACACTTGCTTTCATGTTCTGGTAGCTTTTCATTTTCCACCTACATGAAGAGAAATACATCCCCCTTTTCAGCAAGCTCAATCTACGCTCTCACCATCCACAGAAAAATTCCTCCTCTTGAAGTTACAAAGTTAAATTATGAAGGGGAAAAACCAAAGAAAGATAGTTAAAAAAATGTTTTGGTGGTGGGTGGGTGGGTGGCATTTTAGAAATGTAGTAAATCACCTACAATGGCAGATGCTTAATGTTTCCCCAGCTGTAGACACTGTTCTACTCTGTCTTCCTCCATTGCTTCCCAAAAGGGCTCTGTCAGATGTACTTAACAGCACCAAAGGACAGAGCCTCGCGTAGTCCCCCCGGGGATGGATTTACACAAACTTCACCAGTAGAAGCTGGGAAAACTAAGCCACATGGAAAAATACGGCCCGGACCAAGCTCTAGCAGGAGCTGTGCTTACAGCAGCGTAACCACCAGAGTCTCAGAGCACTCAGGGTCTTCCTCAAGAAGGAGGTGATTTCCTTCCATGTTAATCTCATTCTCTGGATACCCAAACTCTGGACAGCAGGTGATGTTATGCTCCATTTGCAAAGGGTGTGAAACACTACATTGTTCAGATACCTGAACATAACAGTAGTTTACTAGTTAACTCCAACACTGGAACTGAAAACAAGTCCCAAGATAAACATCAACAGACAAACAGACAAGTCCTTACCACCTCAGCACATCCGACAACCTCAAATCTGCAAGGCACTTTAGATCTGCCACAAGTCTTCACATGGTCCCGAAACTACAAAGGAAGGCAGGCAACGTTAGATCTTATGTGCTCCCAGTAGCTCCCTCTCCATCTTGCTGATGTCGAGGAAACTGAAGATGATCTGAAGAATGCTCAAGCCATCGCTAATAACTACCTGCCAAAGCGTGTGGTCACACCTGGACACTGCCTACCATTAGGTATGACTTTTGCTGTCATACAAACATAGCACTGACACCTGGAAGGAAACATCTTTCTCTAGATGGCTAGGAGGCCTCTCTTCTCACCTGAATATGCAAGAAAGAAGCAGCAACCAGCACAGGTACATGCTATGGATGCTGAGCAAAAAGCTTCACTGAGGGCAGAGGGATGGGTGGCGTGAGGAACAACCCCTGGCAACAGCCAGGCGTTTAATTGTGTGCACTTCATGTAACCCTGGCTGGGATGTCCCAAAGCTTGGGATTTTTACTTCCCGCTAAGCATCATAAATCTGAGAACACAAATCTTCCTGCAGGTCCTGTCAGAGTATTCATAGCAATTCATGCACGTCTACTAGTGCAAGGGACAATGCTCTGCTGGGCCCAGCATCCCCTTGCTGGGCCACCAAAGGACACCCCACCTCAGCCACCTCTCATCTGGCAGCTGCCATGAAGAACCAAGGCCAGTGATGGATATTCCCACAGAGAAGTGCCACAAACCTCCAGCCGCCAAGATGACTCGTTTGGGTTCCCACACAGTGCATGATTAATGCTAACAAGCACTGGCACATTATCATCTTGTTTTTGATATACCTCCCATCATCAGATATCAGTGGTCTGTTCTGAACAACCACCATATTCCACACTTAACACCTACATCTGCTACAACAGATGTCGATTAAAACTGTTTTTAAACCACTTTTTTAAAAGCTTCTCAATCCATCTGGCTTGCACAATGAGTCAGGCTACCCAGAGTTACAACGGCTGCAGCTAATCAACAGAAGTTTGGAGGGAGATAAAAAAGGGGAGTTAATATTTAAACACAGGATAGATCACCTCTGGGAACCCTAGAAGTCCAGTCTCTGCTGGGCTCTGGTTGATCCGTATCCCAAGGTCCCAGAACGAAGCCCTTCGTTACGCTCCCATTTTGAAGGACTCTCTGCTCATCTTTGTGATGCTTCTGTCCCCCCAGTCCTGCTACAAGGACCTTTTGCAACACCGCTACTAAAAATATTTGCCCATAGTAGGAAGGACGGTTTCAGATGAATGCTTTTTGAAGATGGTTTCCCAAAACTTTGACGTTCAGACTTCTGAGCCTTGCCCCAGGAGCCAGCAGAATATAGACACAAATTCCGTTACATGATTAGAAAAATTCATTTAGCTGGAGATGGGCTCCCTTTCCATAATTGCAGCAGTGGTCGATACGGTTGCTTTACAAAGGACCTAAGTACCCACCAAGCCACAGGCATGCTTTTCCCATGGCAAACGCTGCTCAGAGGGAACACAAACCTCCAAGTGCTGCTGAGTCACATTCGCTCGCACCCTACCAGTGTTCTGAGCCTTACAGAAAGGTCACATCTGTACTAACGGCTGCCACTCAATTGCCTTCTCCACTTCCTAACAGTCTTCGGCGTTCCTCCCCGTGCCGAGAGTGCCGGTGTCAGCCCATCAGGACCCGGCCCCACCACAGCGCAGGGTTCCCCGATAGTCACCTTCTCCCTGGGAACCTTCTTCCCACAGCCTTCGCACGTCAGCGGGAACTCCGGGCAGACTTCGTCATGAGCCTGTAAAAGAACGGACAGGAGAATATTTGGTGCTCTAAATAACAGTTCCAGTGAGGTTATACGATGAGTACAATTCAACAGGGGTAGTTTTATACTTTATCACAGAGAGCACTGTATTCTACCAACTCATACTCAGATCTGGCTCATGCTGATAATTCTGCATGCTGACTCATTGGTGTCATCTCCAGGCCTCCAAAATTTTGGGTGTCTATGTAGCCTCAGCCTCAATTCTAAAGCCGCTATAATTATTTTCTTAAAAAATCAGATTACTGCTTTGATGAAGAAGATAACAGGTAACTCCATTTATGGCTTTGTCAGGAAAACACATGTTCAGGCAGGCTGAGTGAAGTAAGCCACTAACTCAGCAAGATAATTTTTCCACTGTAATGGTTAGCGTGAAGTATGAAACCATAGCCACACTGGGCTGAGCTGTCTGACAGTATCTTCACATTTGAATCAGAAAACCATTTTTCAACCAGAAAGAAAAATATTTTAAAACTGTTTCATTTAATAGCCCTGCACACAAGCACCCACAGTTTGTTTGGCAGCCAGAGGAGCTGAACAAATGATCAGGGCAACGTGATACTCTGTGTTCCGCAGACACTAGGGCCAGGGATACTGGCTAAATTGGGAATGCAAGAACGTGCCTCCGCTTTCTGTGCCATCTCCACACTCCTTCAACCATCTCTTTATACATCCACCACTTGAAACAAGGCATTGTACATGCACAGTTCAAAATTCAGATTAAAAAGTAAGCACACTGAAGTATCCTGCCATGGTAGTAACAGGGAAAAAACCAACAAAACAGAAGCATTTATAAAGTAGTCATCAGAAACCAGATGCTTTGAAAACTTGGTCACATTTATTCTTTATTAAAACAAGTTACTATATGAAGTGGGGGAACACGCACAAACTTAAATGCTGTCACCACATCAGAAACTGGAAAGTGAAACCCATTAGTGGCTCAGCTTTGGCTTCTTAGTTACTCTCTCCTTTTTATACTTTAAACGAGCAACCAGACTCAAGGCTCCCTGTGCCATCCCCAGAAAGGTCCCTGTGTGGCCAGGCTGGGCACTACTGCCTGTGGGGGCTGAGCACCTTCCTCCATCCCACCGGCTCAGAGGGGCTGGACCCTTGTGTCTGCCCACCTCCTGCTCTCATGTTCTAGAAACACCCGACAGCATCTTCCCCATGGCCCACAAAGCGCTGGCACGAGAACAGACGGGCTGGCTGAAGGAAGGAAACTTCACTGCAGAGACAACTCTTTAAGCAGGGAGTATTTAAAATTCATGTTCTCCCGTGCCAGTGTGCTGGGTGTGAAATCACCTTCCCTCTGCCCTCCCCACCTCCCAGCATCCATCTCCCGTCCCAGCTCCACACTCCCCACACTGTAGCACCCTGCGCAGCGCCCAGCCTGCAGCACGGAGAGGGACATCAGCCCCGCACAGCGAGGCTGACACTGCGACTGGGCCAGATGTGAATCCAGACACCCAGAAGCATCAGCTTTAACCAGCACAGGTCCAAACCTCCAGACAAACAGTTTCGTATAAACAGTTTCAGGCTCTTCTGGAACCCACTGTTCCTTCCCCCTCCACGTGGGTGTCTAAACAGAGACGGATGGTGTTGCCGCTGGAAGAAATTCACCCCACCCAGGAGCCAGAGCACAAGGGTTGGCATTCCAGCCCAATCTGCCACACTCCACTCCCCTAGGAATGGAGCAATCCTCCTGTTTACACCTTTCCCAAACTCACAGCCCTGCGCTTGTGCAGTACGGACGAGCATCCCTGACTTTCAAGCATTCACTGGGAATGTTTCAAGCAGCTTTGGAAAGCCATGGCTGGGAGGAGGGCTAGGTGAGAGCACAGTCACACCCCCGAGGTCAAGTCAGATGGGGTTCAAAGAGAGGGGGTTACAACAGAAGAATTAAAGTGAAGCTGGAGCACAATGGTCTGGCTGATACCTTCATGGCCACTCTCCAGTTACCTCAGAAATGACTTCTCACTCAGCAGCAGTAAACTGAGGCACAGACCGGCCCGCAGCACCCAACAGCAGGAGTAGGAAAATCACACTGAGCAGAGTTAGCAGCCACCAACACCTTGCTCTTCCCACGCAATTAAAACCAAACCTGCCAACTGATCTGGACATCAATTTGGCTCCCTAAAAATAAACAGCAAGCAACCCAGCAGCAACATGGACATCACAGGGCACCATCGGAACAGGTGATTCTCTGGGAGCCACCTGGGAAACTAGAAAACCAGACAGTACTCAGCCTTCAGAAGGATCAGGGCAGCCTGCGAGCACTGGCAGGTCCTGCTGTGGCTGCTCAGCCTCAGCACCTCCCCGAGCTCCACTCTGGAGCAGCGCCGAGGGGCTGCAACGGAGGGACTGAGCCCTGCTCCCCTCGACGGCCTGTGCCCAAGCTGTAACTCCTACCTCCGCTCCAGGCAAGGAGAAAAGAGACTTGCAGTGTTTGCAGTTGAGGTTCCTCTCAGGGCACTCCCGGGATCATCCCTCCCACCCCCGGCTCTCAGCCAGCAGGAAGGGGCCCTTCCCTTCGTGGCAGCCCCGCAGCAGCACAGCTCCCTGCAGCCGGGCAGAAAGCACAGGCACACACAGGGAAAAAGTGGAATTTAATAACAGCAGCTGATCCCTGGAGGACATGACGATTTTTTCCTAAGGAATGGCAGGATGAGCTGCTCTGCTGTGCCTACGTGAGACAGAAGGGGAAAACCGCAGTTTAATCCGATTGCTGTTTTGCCTCTAAGGGCTTCGCTAAATTTGCCTTGAACTACAGAAGAGGCTGCTGTTGAAGATTATTCTCTCTGCATTGTGGTGGCAGAGCAGAGGTGTACCTGCTCCCCAGCAGCCCTGCTCACACCCTGCTGTACCACCACAAGTCCGTTTATATGGAGGCCTTGCAGCCGTGTTGGGAAATCCATCAGGAAATCCACCAGCATGACACAAGGCTCCTCCTCCACGAGGGGGCAAGGGGGGCTGAGAAAAGCAACCTGTGACACAGCTGCTGTGGGGGGGTCTGCCAGGGCCCTGCAAGGGCTGGCAGAGACAGGGCACAGCAGAACAGGCTCGGAACAGGAGCTAGACGCTGCAGATCTTCCACAGACACTCTCCTGCAGGTCGAGCTTCGACCATTAGTCTGTGAGTCCCCTCTGAGCACGGCAACAGCAATCATAAGCACAGACAAAGCTTGGCAGCAGGAAGGGAGCACTGGAAAGGAAGGAAAGTTAAGAGGATGGCAGAGGAAAGCCAGCTGAAGCGGCACAGGGCACACTGCAGTGCTGGCAGGGAATCGGCACTTCCCAGCCCTGGTGCTGCCGTGTCCAGCACATGGCTCCTTTGGCATCTTAGCCTGACTATAAGAAAAAGGTTGGGCCCACACAATTGTAGAAAAAACACCGAAAATGGGTCTCCAGTATAAAAGAGACACCTGGCCTTTTCAAGGGAAACTGAATCCCTTGCGCCAAAAACCATGAGTTGCTTTGTGCCCCTCTGCCAGTCCCCAGGGGCTCCAGAGCCTCTGAGATGGGAAGGTGCCGCACGAAGCAGGTACTTTGGGGTACCTCTGAAATCAATGTGCCCTTCCCTGCTGCGTCTCCTCCCTGTCAGGGGAGTCCTAAGGCTGGTGTTAAGCCAGCCCCACGCAGGTGGTCTGGGCCACCACGCACACAGTCCTTGTGCTATTGCCTGGAGCCCAGCAACACAGGGCTGGAAAGTGGGAACCCAGCCTGTAATTCACAGTGCCAACTGGAACATGAGCTTTCCCATACACAAACACCTGGTGTCAGATACAAACTGCTCCCTTTGCTGGGACACGCTGGTGACAGAGATCCAAGCAAGTTCACTTGGCATCACAAATAATTAAACCTCAAAGAAAGCATCAAAACCAAAGATTAATTTCCCATCAGTAACTGCTTGGGGCTTTAGTGGGGTGTGTGTATACAGCAGTGATGGCACAGGAAACCACTGCCCCTTCGCGCTGCTGCCCAACGCCACCGTGTCCATCTGAGCTGAGGCCAAGACCTGGCAGAAGAGATGCCAGGGGTTCCTGAGGGCCTCACTCATGGCTCTTTTCAGAACCAACAGAACAACCTTCGCTTTCAGCTTTCTCCAGTCATTGGCTTTTAGGGCTGATTAAACAGACATTTGAGTTGGGGTTTATTGGTAGAGGGACATCAAGGCTGTGTTTCTTGCATTGAAGACAGATGTGAAAGCAAGAGCAGGTTTTAAAGACGGTCGAAGGTACAAGAAACGTTTGAAAGCAGCAGCAGGTTTTCTACCATTTCCTAAAAGACTTTGCCTTTTCCTGGATGCTTTGAACTACACGAGCATGAGGCAGTGGGACACACTAGGATGTTTTTTCCAAATCCCTCCATCATCCCAGAGGAACAATTTTGCTGAAACATTTCCCCCAGAGCGTTTTAGGTAAGCCTGAGTCTGAACCTGACCTGGCCCCACAGCTAGCTGACATCCCTCGCCTCAATGGCGCTAGCTGCATTGCAAAACAAAATGACTAAATCCTCTTGTCAAAAAAATTAAAAAAGATGGTGCTGGGACTACACAGAGTCTCCATAAACAACTGCTTGACACGTAAGGAGGTTCAAAGCAATCGGGAAGGTCTGATCAGAGATAACTCCGCAGGTCCTCTAGGCTACAATTAACAGTTAACAGTCACAGTTGTGTGAAAAATGCCCAAATGTGCTATTCATATCTAATGAGGTCACTGCTTGAGAACAACCTGTCACCGGGGAGCAAATACCAATCATACCATCACACTAACGATGCCAGACACCGGCATGTTCACAGCACTGATCTGGATTCACCTCCAGTAGTTACTTCTGAGAGCAGACCACTGTCATTAGCTGCAGGAGCTGCTGATGGTGATGGCTGTGCTCACACACTGAAAGCACTGCACGTGCCAACCAGGTCTCTGGACAACACCCCCAGAGACATCTCCCTCCCTCCCTTCCAGCATCACTTTCACCAGCACACAAAGCTTCACCTGAATCGCTCAGGCCAAAAGGGAAGCCTCTCAGGGGTCTGCCTGACCTTCACCTTAAGAAGGGGGGTGCTGATAGGGGTCACACTCTGTGGGCTGCAGGGGTGGGCAGGAGCAAGGCAGCGAGGAGGTGTGGGCTTGTGAACAGAAGGACTGTGACAGCACGAGGCTGAGAGCACCGCTGGCTCCCAGAAAAGGGGAGATGAGAGAAAGATCATAACTGGGACGGGTATCTTTCACACGCTGGAGAAATCAAGCTTGTGTTGACTTGATTTCACCCCTGATCTCTCCAGGATGTCAGAGAGTTGGAAGTGCCTCTGTACCTGTTACCCAAGAGAGTGTGATCATGGCTTTGGCTCCTGCTGGATACCCAGAGCCCAAGGAACATCTCTCTGGGTGTGAAGTGCTGCCCCACAGCCCCCAAAGCTGCATTCGTGCTGAGGGGTAAAATTGACACACAACACTCACATCATCTTCAAAGCTTGCAACTTACATTTTTTTCATTTTCCAAGGGGCAGATGCCAAACCTGTTAATGGGATGGGCCACCACAAGAAGGCTGAGCTGTTTTCAGAAGCTCAGAGCAGACCCTCTATAGCTGGGGCTTTCCAACCCCCTCCCACGCTCGCTCTGCGGCACTCCCCGTGGCTCACCTCCTACCACAGGCTTGGACGGGAAACCGCCTGCTCTGCAGGCAGCCAGTGACAGAAACTACTGCAGGGATGGTAGGGGAGGCCCATGGTGTTTGGGGACTCTGGAAAGTAAAGGGGTGCCAAATCCCTTTTTCCAAAGCAGGAGGTCCTTTTCGATCACCTGCATGTGCAAGTTAGGGATGCTCCCACAAGAAAAGCGATCTGGTGCTGGAGACTGTTGATCAGACTGGAGCTGGCTGCAAACTGTGCTTCAACACCACACTGCGGTGCCAAACACCACACGCTTGGAGCCAAAACCTCCAGAAAAAGAGACAATAAATGCTGTACCTGATTTTAAAAGGAAGGCTGGTCGCCCTGTTACAGCATCATCAAGTGTGCCTGCCACAGGGGCAACAGGCGCTACATGAAGCAGCTTCAAAAACCAGCAGCTCTAAGCAATGGGCAAAAGCCTGAAACTGAAGCTTTCAGCCTAAGCAGAAAATCACCACCAAAACCATTGAGGTATTCCTGGGACACAGATGGAAAAGGGGGGGGCATGAAGCAGTGAAACAGCAGGAGGACCCCCTGGCTCAGAGCCTCCAGCAGCATTTCTGAAGAAAGGCAGTTTTCCCTACACAAGGTGTAACTGGGCTTCTCCAGCATCCCCCAGTAGAAACGCTGGGCAAGAAGGGACTGCACAGTCACCTTGTGCTCCGGGCCCCAGGAAGCAATGTAGCTCAGTAGATACAGACATACACTCAAACACCACAGGCTTCAGACTAAGATCACTTAAGTTCTGAGTTTTGCATCTTCCACAGCCTTCCAGGCTTCAACTGAAGTGAACTCTTCAAAACCATGGGGACAGCTGACTAGAAGGAAAACATATCCCCTCCAGTTTGGTTTGGGACAGGTTATCACCACAGGTCACAGCTACCCATCCTCATCAGCTGAGCTCATCTGTTTTCCTGGAAACCACCCCTCCCAACTTAATCCTGACAGCAGTATTTAAACTAAGCTTAAAACTTCCTTCTCCTTCCAAAACTTAAGCAATGACATTTTCTAACGTCTCAAATAATTCCCTGACTCCCGAGATGACCAAGTCATAGTTAAAACCCATGTGGGTAACAAATGGAAATGACAAGGCTGCCCATCTGAACGTCCCTCTGCAGTCCCCTCCTCCCACCCCACTCCTGGTAGGAGGCAAAGAAATGGAGCTGGCAGTATGAAAAGCATAAATAAGGAGTATACGAGAACTGAAGATATGTTGGGAAAACAGAAGAGGGTTGCAGGCAACTAGAGGTACTACAAGGCAAGAAAAGAAATTCTTCAGGGCTGAGAAACCACAAAGTCCCTCTACAGAGCAGGTTTTCTTGGTCTTTCCTTTTGCTCTGCCAGGCTAGTTTTGGTTTCTGCAGCTTTCCTTGGACTTTCCACCCAAATCTAAAGGCTCCTGCCCACAGCCTGCTTTTCTGTATGTACATTCAGGCAGACTCATAAGGAAACCCGTACATGAAAAGAGGCTACTGATTAAAAGGAAAAACCCTGCAGCCCCACCACAAACTGTTTTATCCAAATGCTAAAATATTTAAAATATTTACAAAATCAGAAAAATGCATTTATAAACCCAGACATGTTCTAAGCACTTAAACATTTCATATGCCTCACAGAGTTTCAAACAGAAGTGCAAGTCACGTCCAAGCAGATTGCACTCTTTCAGTTTTGGATGTCCCTTTGAAACATGAACTTTGATCTGCCCGAACAGAAAGCAAAACTGAAATCAGTTTTATTAATTTTTTTGAAGAACTAGAGCTTTTCAGCTACAGAACATTTTTTCCCTTGTTCGTGCCCCGATAAGATTAGCAAACCAGAAGTGACAGTATCTCTTGATATGTAAGCGGATAGCAGCTGAGTAAGTCTCTCTCAGTACCAACACAGGATTTTTAAATTAGCAAACAATGAATTCGCTCTGAGGGACTTTCCATGTCCTGTCGGAAATAGCACAGCGAGGGACTTTCCACAGTGGGAGCACTGAGCTGCTGCAGGAGGTTACACGTGTTGCTGGCTGCAGAGACAAACCCCACGCTGCGGCCCCCAACGGGCCAGCCCGGCCCTACGGAGGCTCAGCGCGAGCCCTCGGCACACGAGAAACTCTGGGCTGACACGGTCCTTCGACACCTCCTTTCGTCAGCCCTCCTCAGCCACACGTACCATCCCTGAGCTGCGACCGCGTGAGGACAGCCAGGCCCGGTTCCTGCCACAGCTCTTTGGCAGCGGCTGGCCCGAGAGGGAATGTGAGCCAGACCCTGCCTCCTCCCACCAGTTCCCAGGAAAGGATCAGCTTTTCCCAAGAGGGCACAACACACCCCGCTGGACTGAGGCAGGCTCAACCCCAAGATGAGCCAACCAGCACTGCTCAAAATCCCCAGTCCCTGTCATCACACAGGACTGCCCCAAAACGAGCAATCGTGACAGCCTCGTGACCCACAGCCACCCCCACGGCCGAGACCAGCGGAGCCACACCTCTACACAACATGGGTGTTATAGCAGCACACCTAACTAGGACCTTGTGAAGATGTCAAAAGCAAGCCTTATCTGTTCAGACACTCTTAAGCAGTTGTGCGTAAGATCCTGGAGCGTCACACGCAGCCTTGCAAGGAGACACTTACCCCAGGACAGCTCATTGCCCTTTTGAACTACTAGTGCGAGCCCTGGCTGGATCAACCTCACCTTCAAACACTCGTAAGACCGCACCCTTTGGCAACTGATGACTTCTGCTAAGTCCTGCAGGAATTCTTAATTTATTTTTTTTTAAACCCAGGAGAAAAAGTTCAGAAGAGCTTGTCATTCACAGCACAATCAATAGCATTGGAAGCTGCTTACAAATATAATTTTCTTTAGTCTAACAGGGATGAGCTCACTTATTACAACCCCCATTCTGAATACTGCATTGGGCATCAGCAGAAATTAGAGCATGGGTCAAACAATCTGCAGGCACCACCAGCACAGCTTGAACCTGGAACCTCAGTAAGACACACTGTACTCCAAAATGCAACAACCAAACTGTACTGCATAAGAGTGAAGCTTTTAACCTGACATTTATTCAGTCCTACATCCACACCATAAGCCACTTCATTTATGAATGAGGGCTTCACTGCAGGAGATCCATTTAGGACACTACATCCCCATCTCTTGGGCTGAGCTTTTAGCATAACAAAGCAGGAGGGTCTAGCCAGCAGGACAAGGAAGCAGAGGCACAGAAGCACCGCTCTGTTGACAGGCAGAACACTCAGATGTCATCCACAGCTGCTGCTTCTTCCTGTCCCCTTGCAGTGGCATCACAAAGAGAATCCAAACGTCAGCCTAGACAGACCGAGGTTAAACCTTTTCCTGACACACATCTCCGTCGCTACCAAAGCTCCACAAACCACAGGGCTACAATCTTTACCTAGGCCGAGCGTCAGAGGGAAATAAAATTTATTCCTCTTATCTCAGGCCCCCTGCATGGTGGTTCTTGCATTCCAAGACTGATGAGAGACCTGTCTTTCAGGAGCACCAAAGCTTCACAGGTAAATATATACTCACTACTAACTGCCAGTGCATTTTAATGATGCAAATTGTCCCAGTAGAGCTGACTTGCTGGAAAGCCCGGGGAAGCACGTGGCCCACTGCCATCCCCAGCAAGAACACGCTTCTCAGGAGGCACATTAGCCATACACATGTTAAAGACCAAACATCCAGGGCTGCGAAAAGAAGGCCTGGATTAAAGAGCTGATGGGCTTCTCGGGAAGAGCAGGACTGGAAAAACCATCCTGTCCAGCAGCTCACAGCCCAGAACAGCTTGGAGCAGCAGCAGTGACCAAGGCCCAGCCCCATTGCCCTGGCAGCCGTGGGGGCAGCTGAGTGGACACAGGATCGTGCCTGGGACGCTTTCCCCAAACTTAAGGGTCTGAAGTAGGTTTTAGGTTCACATAATGCGGAGAACTTCACAGGTTCATGGCACAACACAGTTTCTTGACAGTCTTTTATAGCAGAAAGGAGTTGGAGAGTGGGTGGTTGCCACCACGGAAGGGATGTGCTCCGTGCCTGCGGTCACAAGCAAACTTGAAATTGCTCCAGCTCAGCCTGTGCCCTCAACAGGGCAGACAAACCCAGCTCAGCCAAGGAATCTCTCCAGCTTCCAGTGAGGTCCGGGGAGGTGAAAGCTCCCACCACCACTGCCAGTGTTAGCAGATAAGGAAAATCACCTGAGCCTGCCCCAAACAGAGAGGAAAGAAAAAGGATGTGAATGTGGAAAGCTCTGCTTTGATCCTTACCTCATACTCTTTAATAGTCCCCTTCCAAGTGCAGCCACTGTTAATGCAGACTGCGGGCAGACTCTCCACCTCCCGGCGAGCTGCGTTGTCTGGGAAAGCCTAAAATGGAAAAAACAAGCAAACCACAAAAATCACTGAAGGACTGCAGTTTTAGTCCAGTCTCCTAATTCCTATATTAAGACTCTATTAAGGCTCCTCCCAGGCTATTTGCCACATCACATCCTCAGAGATGTGTTAATGGCAAACAAATCATTATTACAGCATTTAAGTAGGCCACCGCTACATTAACATGACCTGGATTTCAGAAGCTGGAGAGTCCACAACATTAATCATAACTCTCACTACTGAAGAAAACGTTTCCTAGGAATAAGAGATTCTCAGAACTTATGCTTTAAACAAAAACCGCAAATGGTACTAGTGACATTGGTCAGCTGCTTTATTTTTTTAAATGCATTTTTACTTACTGAGCTTGTTTCCAAAATAGAAATTCCTTCTTCATATATTCCTTCCTGAATACAGCTGGCACACTTCTGAGGTCCAGCACTAGCAAACAGAAAAATAATCATCAAACACAACAAAGAGAGCAATTTATGATTTAATGACAAAAGGATTTCTGGTACCTTGATAAAATTATAGCATTTTCTTATTTTTAAAACAATGCATTGAGTCTTTCCTCAAGTGTATTTTTGACTTCCATTTCTAATTTTCTTTCTTTTCCCAATTAACCACTCTATTCAACGTCCCTCACTTAAAGGCAAGAGTGAGACAGAACGTGAGGAAACTTTTCTGGAGGCCAGTGTGTGCTTAAATTTCTCACATTTTGGCACAAAAACCACACGATGACTTTTCGGAGGCCATTCCTTCAGTAACTGGGCTGAAGGAGATGGGTGATCACCTGGATTGCCACCTGAATGACAAAACCAATCTGGGAGATTCAGAAAAAGGGAGCTTTGATGCAACTCCCAGAACAATAAGAGCAAATCAGACATTACACATTCCCTTAAGGAAGGCCTGATGCTGAACCTCAAATGATTAAACACAGCTCCCTCATCAAGAAGGCCCTGAAAATGAGACTTTTCTCTCCTTTTTTGCTTGAAAATGCCTCTTCAAGCTTTTTATCTTCAGATTGAAGGCACAAAAGTTACCTTATAATTTTCTTCAGACAATAGGAACAGTAGCGATGTCCACACTGAGCTTGAAAAGGCCTCCTCAGTATATTCTTGCAATCTGAGCAGAGGTATTTGACCTCCAGCTTAGTTCCCAGGATCTCCTTTGCAAACCCAGGCTGGTTTAGATCCAAAGAGCCAGGTGGAGTAGAGTTTGCTGCTGCCATGTGAACAAAAAATTCTGGCTGTATCTCAAGAGCCTGAAAATACAAATATTTTCCTTGGTCAGTTAGAACTGAATGGTGGCAGTTTTTCACATAAACTGTATTAACTCACAGTGTATTACACCGGCCCCCAAACCCAACACACTGACGTAAAACACAAGCTTTCTTCAAGCCAGTTAAAAACACTTCACAGTCAACTTTAGAATGAAATCCAGAACAAAGAGTGGGCAGACCCTCACTAATCCCCATCCAAGTTTACTGAAGTGCAGCCCGAAATCCAGGTTTCCGGCCCAAAGTAAGGTCAAAACCCCATCAGAAAGTTGCTCAAGAATAGAAATAAATCGCCTCAGCCCACCAAAAACCCCGTGTTTTTTACCCAAGCACCGAGTGCGGTAACCACAGCCTCCCACTGCTTTTTTTCACACTTCAGTTGTCCAAAAAGACCCCAATTCTGCCCAGAACTAGCCGCTCCCGGGGCGCCTGCTCCGGGGAGCCCCCGTTACCGGAGACCCCGCCTGCGAGGCGGTGGACGGAGCCTCCCGCCCCAGCGTGACCCGCGGGGAGCCGGTCCCACAGGCTCCCTGAGGCGGGAGGCCGCTCTCCCCCCTCCCGGTG